AAAATACACAATCTGATTAAAATCTGATGTAGTGTACAGGCTTTAATTATTTTGGCTATAAACTTATTTTAATTTTTATTACTTATCTTATTAATGCCTTTTTATTTTACTTTGATTTTGATTTTGTGATTTTTTTTTATTCCGCCCTACATACAATTACCAAAACTTCAAAAAATAATTACTGGATCAAAATAAAATAAAATAAATATACAAAAAAAAGCTGAGACTAGGATTTCATTTTAATCAGATTGTTCTATCTCTAGAAATAACAATGGCAGAATTATTGCTCCACACAAATTTAACTCACATTACTGACCCAGTGTATTACTAAATTAACAAAATACATTGCCATGAAGCACAATTTATGTGATGCCAAAAATATTTCTCAAATACTTCATTTTAGTTTGTTCTTCTTTGATGTGACTGTTACTGATTGTTATATTGGTTCCTGAGATAGCATATGGAAACTATCCTGACTAATATGCACACATCACTGAGAACAATTTATCAAGCCAATGACAAAAATCCCATATCTTCATATCTAAATGAACAAACAGACTTATTGTCTAACTTTGTTACAATTATAGATAACATTTCACATCAGTTGCCCAAAACTACCCCTTAATGTTATTATGAACACAGTTCCATATGCATAAGCGATTTAGTGTTTGTATTTTCAGAACAATCCGTTTGTAATGCTTACAGACCGTTCTTGGCCAAACTATGGTAAATCAACCTGTAACACACCTATTTAATATGAACTCAGCATAATGAATTAGTACATATGTACAATATTTCACTAAATTCATACTTCAGAAAAAAGCAAAAACATAAATAGAGAATAGAGAATGTTAATCCAACAACATCGCCTGTTATGTTCCACAGTTTGGTGGTAGTATTTCTAGTTATGAACTTTGACCCGCTGTTTCAACCTCACTAATTGATTTACACTTGCAGGGTAATCATTTGATACAAGATATAAATACCGATGTAAATGGCAGAAATTATGGAATCACGGGAATACCTTCCTGAACCAATCAAGTGCCGCAGATGTGGTATTGAGTCAAGATATTTAAAACTACTTCCATGTCTTCACTCAGTGTGTTCAGACTGTTTGTAGGAAGAGTTCGACAAAGGCCATAAATATTTTAAATGTCCGGTTGATTTTAAGATACATACCACAAAGCAGGATATTCATTGTTTTCCTGACAATTTCCTTGCTAACAATTACTTTGATTATTATCAGATAAGAGGAAAGAGAATTCCTATATGTCGTTACCATGTCAATGAACTTGCAGTAGCATGGTGTGGGCACAAGGAGTGTGCCATGTTTTTGTGCCAAGTGTGCCTCCATGCTCATGTGCAAAATAATGATATATATTGTTGACATTGACAGCCTCAGAGAATTGGGCAATATAAAGAAAAAGTTTGAAAAGCGTACATTATTCTGTCCTCGCCATGATGAGGTGCTTCGTTATTTCTGTGAAAAACCGCAATGTCAAACAATAATATGCAAAGATTGTACGATTGCAGATTACCGGGATATTGGTGGACATCGAATAACAAGCGTGGAAAAGATTGTTACAAAATATGAGAACACGTTTCGAGATGCAATAAAGAGCGGTAGAACTGAATTAGACCAGATCCTTAAAATAGAAAATAAGATTTCTGAGCAAATTGATGAGAATGAAGAAAGACGAGAAGAACTGGAAAATGAAGTGAATGCAATATACAATGAATTAATAGCACACATAACAGCTGAACGTGAACGTATTAAATTTAAACTGCGAAAGGCTTTTCAAATGCAAATTAATGCCATCGAGAAAGTACATTCGCAGATTAAAACTGATGCGAAACAACTCAAACAAGCATGTACACTAAACGAACGTGCAGTCGATGAAGGCAGTCAACAAGAATTTATGTCTGTTAGAAATGTTTTATCTGGCAGATTGGAAGAATTTACGTCACGTATTCGTCAAGAACCAAATATACCCAAGATAGATTTTACAATCAGAGAATAAAGTAAACCAAACATTCTGAAAATAATAAAGGACATGTGTTATGTAATGGTGGAACCTGATCTAAAGCCTGTCGTGGAAGCGCCATCAACTGTAGTGATTGGAAATAGTGCTGCAAGTGTAACATATTTTACTTCATTGCGTACAGAAATACAAGCCGAATTAATAGATCCAGATCACGCGCAAATACCGTGCCGTGTGCAAAGAAGTAATGAGTATACACATGACATCATGTTTCTACCACAGACATTTGGAGAGCATACATTAAGCGTACATATAAAGGCAGACAGACATGTTTTTCAAAGTAAACATCTGATACAAGTACTGGAAAATAACCCAATATTAACGTTTGGTGGACATGGGAATGGTGTTGGAATGTTTTGGAGAAACCCAATGGGAATAGCTATGTATAACAACCAGGAAGTGTTAGTAGCAGATAGCAATCGTACCGTGCAAGTTTTCAATGCAAATAATGGACAGCATGAAGGGAAGTTACCCATAAAGGGATCTGATGTTACCATAATGCCAGATACACATACAAACAGTTTAGTTACAGTGTCTCAGTCTAGAAAATGCGTGTATATACATCATGAAGAACACGTACAGGAATTTGCACATCCCCATTTCCAGTATCCATATGCAGTAACTACTGATAACAATGGATGTATATATGTTACTGACAAGGATGCTGGTTGTGTGTTTGTATTCGCTGATGTTGGTACGTATGTTAGAAAGATTGGATGTAAAACTAAACGATTTGGTCAACTGAATACACCTGTCAAGGCAATAGTGAATAGTAGGAATGAAGTCGCAGTGTGTGATTTTAATGGTGGTTGTAAACAATGGTATGACGTCACAGGTAGACCACTGCGTAGATTTGGTGCATGTTGGGAATCAGGACATAGATTTGATAATCC